ACAAAAACAAGGCGTCTGTACAAACCCATGTATCCACTAAAAATAATTCTTATAGAAATAAAAAAAGAATGATGTATGTATGTTGCATGTATTTATACATAATGTGTTTTTATCAATTATTCCTTTCGTCCAAATCGACATCGCTGATCAAATATGAATTTCAAAACGACAAAAGGGTTGCAGACGCCCGCTCAGACACATTTGTGTTTCTTTAAAACCCACAGAGCACCAACCTGTGGTTTATACTGTAACTATGCTGAGCAGAACTTATTTACAATTTCTGGGAGAGAGCGCATTATCTATCGTAATCAACAGTCTAAACAAGGCCAGCACACTCAAACCCTCGGTCACAATGACTCGTGATTTCGTGCTAGCACAACCATCGATGGCTCCCAAAGAGTTATGTCTACCCAATTTCACTGACAAGGCTTGGATCAACCCGTGGTAATTGGTTTCAGACATTTTCCAATGGTGCCAGACCCTAAAAGTAATGAAGAACCTAAATAGAAACTAGTTTCATTCATTTATTTATTATCAATTGTAAAAAGAAAAACATAAATTATTTTTTCCAAAATGTTTTACATTTTTTTCTTTTTGTTTTGAAAATGTCTCTTTATTTCATTTTAGTTGGCATCCAGTTTGCGTTTTTTTTAGTTGGCTTTTGATGAACTGTAATAAGCGACTGATCTGCAAAAAGTAAATACTTCTGTGCCCTTAAAATAAGGAACTATTTTTATAAATAGTCAAAACATCGATTGTGTATTCGTTAAAGTTAGAAGGATCCAATCCCACTGAACCCGGAATTCCTCCATTAATCAGAATAGAATTCCAAATATCATTTCTTCTTTCAATCTAAAATTAGTCAAACTCGATGAAAAATCGTTCAATCAATTTAACTTCATTTGATTCAAATACATTTTTTTTCTCTGAAACTATTTTGTTTATAATATTTATCAAATACATATATATATATATATATATATATATATATATATATATATATATATATATATATATATATATACAGTCTTGTCTTTGTTGTCGTTATACCACATAACACCTTTGAGCCCTTAGCCTTTGAGCGGGTATAATGGAGATCACCGTGTTTTAGTGGACTCAGCAGTTTTCAATATGCTTGTCTGAATCATCTTCAAGAGGCGAGAGCAAGAACTAAAAGGTCAGCCAATCTAACAGTGATCTCATCTCACAATCCTCACTCTTACTCCATATGTGGCCTCCTTTGTAAATCACTAGCGGGTCTTAAATGCCACTTAAGATTATCGCACAAAATTTCATAACTGAATCAACTAAGCTGTCAGATCCTCATACGTCGAAACCGACAGGAGAGTCCATATATATATATATATATATATATATATATATATATATATATATATATACACACAAAGTGCAACCTCGATTCTCGAACGTCTCAGATGTCGAACAAATCGGTTTTCGAACAGAATATTCGAGATAAAAATGCCTCGGTTATCGAACAAAATTTCAGTTCTCGAACAACATTGCCGAACCGAACCGGACTGAATTAACCCGAACGGAATCATTTCTTAGTCGACCGCCATGTTGTATAAATTCATGTATTGTGCTCTGCCTTTCTTTACCAATCTTATTGTACCGTGCCTTTTATTAGTCCTTAGTTATAGTTCCAAAGAAAGCTAGTAGTGATATTGGTAAAAGAAAAGTTAAGAGACAAACAATTGTTGATGATATTGTCTCTTCTTACTCAGTTTCATATGACAAAATCAACGATCTCTACTATTCTTATAAATAAAGGAACAATTCAGGTCTTTCCTTCCCCTTTTCCAAATAATAACATCTCTTTCCTTCCCCTTTCATTTATGCCATTAACTTTCCTACATACAGGTTCGGTAAAATTAAAGTGTTCATCTATATTTTATCTGTTTAGTATTAGGTTTATTTATTTTTTTCTTAGATTTGATGATTTTCATTAGTTTTATGCATAGAGTTGTGCACAAATTACTGTTATTAAAGTTTAAATAAGCAATCCTCATGCGACCAGGAATGGATTAATCCATTTTACATTGATTGCTATTGGAAAAATCGTTTCGGCTTACGAACATTTCGGGTTACGAACGTGCTTCAGGAACAAATTAACTTCGTGAAGTCCGTCTGAAGCTATTATGCAAATCACATAAACCTCAATAACTTGAATTTACTTTGAATAGTTTTTTGTCAAATTTTAAACGATTGACTCATCAAATCAAAGGTTGAGTTAAATTTTTAGTTATTTTCAATATGTTTTATTAAATTTATTGGATTTATTATAAAAACTACAGTCTGAAGTTATTATGTAAAACCAGAAAAAACTGTTTACTTGAATAGCAAGCTAATAAAATCATCGACATTTGATCAAAACCTATAATAGAACAAATGACAAACAAATATGATAAGACTTTGAAGCATTTCCATCTTGATATAGTGAACCTTCTTCTCAATAACACTCAGCAATCTATGATACATTGATTTTTGTTTTAATCAACAGGTTCAATTTTCAACATGGTGGTTTTAGTTGCTTCCCATGGGTCTGCTCTTCTGTCATATTTTTTGCCACCTTCATATAATTTCATCTTCACAATTGACCATAGATTTTCGATCGGATTTAGATGGTGACTTGATGGTGGCCACTCCATTATCTTCTCTCCTGTAAACCTTTTGCGCTCAAAATATTCACGTGTAACCTTAGATACATGAGAAAGAGCATTGTCGCGCAAAAATACACACTTCATTTTGAAACTGCGAATCTGAAACTTCTACCATTCAAAAAAAGTTTTCTTCATGAAATCGCAATAGTTAGCACTGTTCAATTTAATTCCTTCATCGATTTTAAATATGGGATAAAATAAAATCGTGAAGAAAACTAGACTCCTCACTCTCAACGTCATTCGTAAGCCATGAAACTTGCATCACTTCAGCATCTTGAGAGAGTTATAAATCAAATTGGCTGAAACGCATGCGCAGATACACAGCCTATACGCATGCGCAAATACACAGCCTATACGCTTGCGCAGATACACAGTCTACACGTTAAGTATTCAGAACTTTTTCTTAAATAATCATATCACATTTCTATTTTGAACTTTTTCATTGTTTCTTCTCTTGTAATTATTTGTCCTTGTTTTTGTTGTCATAATTTCTTTCTTATTCAAAAATTAGATGTCATTTTCTTTTTGTACCTATTATTTATATATGTAATAATCTACTCAAATTATTTTTCAATGAAAAACGTACGCGTTTTAGGTGAAGACGTTTTATCAGCTGCCAAACTTTTTAAATCGTAGAAAATTCATAAATTTTCGTTCTTCTGAATATACTGTAAATAAACATTGAAATATTAACAAAATCAACGATACAATTCGTTTTTTTAAATCAGATATTCATTATCTAAATATATGTATATTTCCAGGGTTACCAATCTCATATTGCACAAAAAGTAAATATTTCAGCTGAATTTCTAGGATTCTTGATTTTTTTTTTAAATTCTATTTAAAGTTTTAATTTAAAGAATCTTTAATAGAAATGGTTCGTTTGATTTTCATATCCTTATGATAAACAATAACTTAGCTTATAGGATTTCTTTTATTAGCACTATTGTGACATTGTCTTGTGACTGGTGCCACACGATGGGACATAGGTATAGAGAATGAGTGCGATCCTGTACAAGTCACTTTCACTATTATCCAAATCCCCGCATTAAAATCTAGATATGCAGAAATGCTAAGACAGATACAAATTATAGAATTTCACAATTAATATACATTTACTGGCTGTAGTAGAAATGCATAGACAATAAATCAGTTCAATCTCAGAAATTAAAAAAAAAAAAAATTTATTAAAAAAAAAAATTAAAATAAAAAATAGGACATATTATTTACCGAGACTATCACAAATATATTTTGTGCATTTTTGAAAGTGACTAAGAAAGAATTCGTATCCTTTGTTCTTCGCCCAATAAATAGATTTTAAATAAATAAAAATAAACTAACAACACGTGTATATCATTTTTTTAATTTTTTTTGCTGTCTTTTGAATTGATCTCTATCCCATGGACAAAATTTCGCTCATTTTCTTGATAGAAAATCAAGAAGTAAGTAAAACTTTATGTAACAAAATGAAAAAGATGTAAAATAAAAATGACGTTTGTATTTTCAGGATATAAAGACTTGGAAAGTGGAGCCAATGAAAAAGATGAATTCAGTGAGTACAAATCAGAAATAGTCTATATCGCTAGGCGATGTTCCTGCATGTGCTTACCAATAGATATGTCCCGAAAAGGGATATATTTGTTCGAAGTAGCAAAGTAATTTTGGACTACTGTAACCAAGTAGAACAGTCTAGCAGGTAACCGTAATGGACTGGTCCTCGTCGTAGTGGTAGGCAATAGGCGTAGGCAATAGGCGAAGACTATAGGCATAGGCAATAGGCGTCGTCCTGTACCTCCACATCAGTCTGTATTTATAGCTGACACCAGCCAATCATATTACTGTAAGGGGGAATCCAAGTGTATGTATATTCATTACATCACCAAATTTGGTCAAGTGAAATGTCCCTGATATTATGTCGAAAAATTGTCCAAATTCTTCATTATCAGACTCCTATTTTTACGCCAATGTCATTCAACTACAATTTAAGCCTTATTGACTGATTTGTCATTTTGCGGCTTATCAACCTTTTGCGGATTATTTGAAGCCAGAAAATAGTCTTAGACTGTAATAATTTTTTTTTTTTTTAGATAATAATAATTTACTGATAAAAGTTATACTAATTAACACCCAGCTGGGGAGAAGAAGTGGATTCATGCCTTTCTCAAGGGTATTTGCACGTAAGTGAATATAACGAACCCAACTGGAATTCGAACTCGGCCCTCCCAATTCATACCTTTCCCAAGATTTTATGAAATGAATATAAAGAACACCGATTTCCAATTCCGACCGTTATCCATTACACCACCCGCAAATCTAACCTTACAGTAACTGGTATTCCCAAGTGGTCACCCATGTAGGTACTAACCAGGCTCGACGCTGCTTAACTTCGGTGATCGTACTGTAAAAGAATTGTGTAATGGATGCTACCTGGCTTGCCCATAATTATAATGGATGATGAAAAAAACAGGGAATTGTGGGTAGAAAAGTGGCTATATGAGTCAATGAGAAATTAGTTGGCGGCGGAGGGGGGATTTTGATGTCCTGGGGTGTATTGTAGGTTCCCCGTGAACTTGTGGTATATGCAAGAATGAATGAGGGTCGAGTTTTTGTGGTGAATGAGTAAATTATAACGAATGAATAGGTCGTGATTCTGATTAGCTAGGTATAGGATAGGTAGCGTCCACCAGCCTCCCTCCATTTCGGCTTTGTGCCACAATTACTATAAATAATCAGTAATAAATCGCGGTTGGTCGGGGGTGGGGATGCTTGATCAAGTATCAAGCAACGTCACGAACGAACACGACGGGCGAACCACATTAAAAGAGAAACGACGAAGGAAACCAAGAAGTGCATGGAAAAGGAACCAAATTGTTTTGGCCCCTAAAACAACATGGACGACAACCGGTATTTCAACGTGATATGAGCGTAAGCCAAAAATTTAAGAAATAAATATTATAACGTTTAAGGATCATCAAATGGTAAAATAGACAATGGTTTTGTTTAACGTGTGTGATAACTGCATTACTTGTTGACGCTGTTATTGTAAGGCGGGGGCGAGGGGCGTTAATACCACCATCAAGACGGCTTTACTAATCTGTAATGGGTTGATGGAAATGCGATTAACGCGTTACTTATTTTAATTTTACAAATGTAACAAAAAGCAAACAAACAATAACAGAAATAATGATATGAAACAATATTTTGGTTAAACAATAAATATTTTTATGTATAATCAATAGAAGGTACAACATTGTATATTGAGAGTTCTTTAAATTGTTTCAAAGTTTTTTTTCTTGTGTAGATTGAAGTTTTCTGAAGATATTATATGAAAGATTAAGAGTTGAGACATCGTGTGTATAAAAACGGGGTAAGTTTGATAAGGTATTTTTGTTTGTAGGAAAATTAAACAGTTTGTTTTTGGTGTTGAATTTTGCAATATTGTACTCGACTTACTGTTCTGTGTATGAAGTTGTCTCTCTCTGAATGTGTCACTTGATGTTTTCTGTTGAGTTTATTGTGTTGAGTGAGTGTACTTCGCAAGCCGTGGAAATGTTAAGTAAATTTAACTTTAATCCTGGTAAAATAGGTGATATGGATTCGTGTGTCGAACTGAGAAGTCGAATAATATTTCGTATTTATTGATGTTTCAAGTCACGTGGGAGGCTCCAAGAAATTTGGCGCAAATTTGTATCTGCTTCGGATGCACACTAAACCGATATGATGCGTACATAGTTGAGAATATATGAAATTATGATTTTTGTTTTGTTTATTAGCCAATCAGAAAGCGTTTTTAGTAACTTCTCGTCTGGAGCCGATTTTAATGGGTTGTTGGGCTACTTGGATTGATTTGAGATAAGTTTCACTCTAAGCCACTTTTAATGGCTTTTTAAACAAATGTAGAAGTCTTAATCTACACTATCTTGTTATTTTCTATTGTCTTGTAAGCAAGTGAGTAGCTGAATGCTTATAGCCTGAATCATAACGAGGAAGAATGAAATAAAAAGTATTGAAAATATTCATTACTTTAAATGATGTTTAGCAATTCATAGTTTTCGTGTTTGTTTTCTACAATAGCTATAAAGATTTTTGATAGTAACGTGAATATTAACTAAAGTGTTGAGATGTTTTGTAGATGAAGCAATTATCGCCTTTTCTTTATAGTCCCACAATGTGTTGTTGGAATCTTTTTCGTGATAATAAGCTGGCATTTCTTTCTAAATTATATATTATTTCCCATTTTTTATGCAGACAGAAGAAAAACTTCGCCCAGTGATTTTATCGAGGAACGCATCACAACACTTGAACCCGAACAACCCGAAAAAAAGGCCATTACTGACCGGATACATACACACATAAAAGAAGGCCGCCGAAGACGACGCCATTGTCACAACCCACCACCAGAACCTCCGATACCCCCGCTACCACCCAGCCTTCAAAAGAAATTCAATGGTAGCACAACACGGCTTTTTCGGGCCTGTATCGCCATATTGAAAAATGCTCTTGCTGATGATAGTCTCAAAGAACACAGACAACAAAGAAGCATTGAATCTCGACTTCATAGCAATATTCCACACAAATTCTCCAATGTAACTGACATTGTTAAACACCCAGGCAAGATGGCTGCCGTGAAGTCTTTTCGATTCCCTCTGAAGGCCAAGTCGGGAGAGGTTCGAAACGCATTCAAGGCTTCATTTCTCCTTTATTTGACAATCGTTCTTATTTTTTCGTGTGATTAGACGCGTTTCGGGTTTGACTTTCAAAAGAAAAACAACATAACTCATGATTATAAATTACAAATATTATTCTCATCTTTTATCGGAATATTTTTCATAAAGTTTAATTGAGTAATATCATTGTTTCTATTGTTGTTATAATTTCGAAGTTTTCCTACTTGTTTCCTGCTGGTCTGCATAATCAAACTGCAGTCGTTTGCACCGTTCTAAGGTGGGTCGGCTTTCCCACCCACTTATGAATAATAAATATTGTTATAATAATAATAATAATAATAATAATAATAATAATAATAAGAAGAAGAAGAAGAAGAAGAAATCTCAGAAATCTCAAACATGTGGCACATGGGAACATCAACAATCCCTGTTGTAGTTGGAGCCCTAGGACTGGTTGGATAAGATTCCAGTAGACTAATTGAAGGGATTCCTGGAAGTCCATGCCTCAAAGAGATATAAAAAAAATTGTTCTGACAAGTACAGCCCACACTTTACGAAGGGCATTATCTATGTAATTTTTTTTTTTTTTTTTTTTTTTGTCAGTGGAAAGTGTCATACCATTTCTAACCTTATGTCCCTGGACGGGACCCGGAAAGAAATGTGTAAACGCCAGAAATCAAAGAAAATTTAATAATAATAAAGAAAATAATAATAATAATAATAATAATAATAATAATAATGACACAGATTTATTAATAACTTTTTTAATGCTAATTATATACTTTTCAACTCCTGAACATTCTCAGATAGTCATAAGAAAATGCTACAGTCTCTCTTAAAAATATTAAAATGCCCCCAATAGTTCTTTACGTAACGAAACATGATTTAACCCAGGCATAGCCAACCCTTTTCGAGCAGCGGGTCGCATTACTAAAAAAATTCAAGGTCATTTTTCGTAGCAGATACCTTAGCTATATTCATTACAGAAGACCATAAGCGTCAGCATAAATGGGAGAAAAGTTGATTTTTTTTTCGTTTGGAGAAAAGATGTTCTTATAATTAAGAAACTAAAATCTTGTTTATAAATATCATCATTGATGACTGTCGTTGCGTGTGATTTTTTTTTTTAATTTATTCATTTGAAAATAAAAACATATATTTCTTATTTAGAGAAAAAAGAACTCTTATGGATGTTTCCTGTTTCAAAAGCAAAAGATGTTTACACGTATGATCTTCCTTAGTGAAAAGCGCCAATGTTTTTAAATGATGAAAACGTTACCTTCAACGAAAAAACCAAAAAAAAAAAAAACATTCGACTTAATCAATTTTTATGTATGTTGTAATGTATGAGAGAATGTGACGGGGACGTTCCTCTCCCTCACTCATTTGCTCTCACCCTCTCTCTCCTTTTTGTTTTAATGTCCTTCTCCCTTGTTCTTTACCTCTCACACGCCATACATAAATGCAAACGTATTAACATATACAGTGTAACCCGGATATAAGAGAGTTGTCGGGACCGGAGAAGTCTCTCATATCCGGGTTTCTCTTATATCCGGGTTTGGTCTATTTTGTTTAGGTAAGTATGGGCTCTAATTTGGGACCAGAGAAAATCTCTCTTATATCCGGGTTTCTCTTATATCCGGGTCTCTTATATCCGGGTTACACTGTATATAGATTATCAATAATGATAATAATACACTTGACTGGATTCTCCTGTTGTATACGCTTCCCCCCACCAAAAAAAAAAAAAAAAAGGTGAGAGTTCGAGACTGTTACAAGCTATCTGGTTTATTTCTACCTTTTTTTATTTTATTTTTTAATCATTTCACCACAAGCAAGGCAATAAAGCCACTAGGACACAAGAGATTATTGGATATTAGAGAATATTACAAAAAATAGTATTAAGGAGGGAGAACAATAAAGAATAAGAATTAAGAAGATAAAAGTTCCTATAAACTTATAGAGTGTTCTTATATAAGAAAACAATTTCTGCCGGAAAGGTTTAAAAAAATACGTTTTACTACACATCCCTGTTCTATTTTATCCAAATGGGATTTTATTGGAACTAGAAAATGACGGTATTTAATGATTATATATAAAGCCTCAAGGTAAATATTTGATCTACTTAACACATTCAATGTTTAATCGCCAACAACCTTCTTAGTTCTTCTCTTTACATCGCCACAGAACATTACAAAATGGACAAATATAAATGATAGAAATGAAACAAAATAATTGCGTAAGTTTTGTGAAGTTATTTCAAGGGGAGGTAATCATGTTTTCTTTTTCCTCCCCAATCGTACAAAGTGCTAAATGCAAAAGGTACAATTATAAAGAATTTTTTCTATTTTCTGATCAATAGAAATTCATGAAGTCGTAACAATGATGTTCTTCTAATCAAAAATCGCAAATGAACTAATAAAAACGAGCTAATGAATTTCTATTCCCACTATAACAACAAATAAAAACCGTAATAATTATTGAATAATTATTTTTAAGTGCACTCGGAATTTGTAGCCCTTAATATTATATGATGAAATAGATTGAAAATTGTTATATTCCGTGCTAAGGAAATAAACGCATAACACCAGGTGGATACTAGAAGAAAGGTTTATTGTACACAACCAGTACAATATGATTTACAGTATAGTTATACACACAGGTCAGTCTAGTAGTGAGTGGCACTAATTGGGAAGTCGGACGTGTTTGCGTCGTCTCTCTCACACTTCTC